ATTTTTTATCTGTACTTGTTTGAAATTTAACATGTACAGATAATATATGTATGTGTCTGGTCTGTAAATGGCCAAAATTCAAGAATCCTACATGTTGCGCACAATTTCCAGCCCTGATTTCATAAAAATTCGGGAAGTATTTATACAACACTGATTGATATTACTCCAAAAACAAAATCTTATTCTATTAATATTCCTTTTAATGAAAATTCTTGATGGCAATTTTTCTGTCTGTCTGTTTCTTTATTTTATTTAAATATTTCGCTTCTTCATGTAAAGGTGAAGGTCAATTATATTGTGCAGTGTAACCATGACGATGTTGTCCCAGCGTGCTATTATGTGATAACACTGTGATGCTTCTGTAGCATTGTCATAGCAACTCATTTAGAAAAATAACACACTCTCCTTTCATAATGGTTGCCATGACATTGTGAGTGACAGTATTTTGTGCTTTTTTTTTTGATTGGATTATAAGACATAGATTTATTTGTTCAATCTTTTCAGATTTCTTATGATGCGTCTTTTTCCATATAAAATAAAAATTCAAATAAATTTCTTGTTTTTAAATCTTTGTCCAACGAATGTCTCAATTCAAGGGAATGTAGCGTACAAAACTGATGTTCTTATATAGAAAGAATAGAAAGTAAATATGGTTACTAAGTCAGTTACGTATGGTGTATTCTGTGGAGGCTCATTTTCTTCAGGAAAAGACAAGTATTCATCCTTGGGTAGATTCTGCTTTATGGAAACTGCTACCAAGTTACCAAACGGAATGGAATCAGATATTAATGTAAGCTGAAGATTTCTATGGGGAGATATAGTTCAGTTTTATTCACAAATAAATATCTGCTATGTAATTTAGGGTTCAGCAGTATTTGAAAATTTAATTAAACGCACTGGCTATTTGCACCGTCACGATGCGTGTTCTCTATGGCTGCTGACAACAGTACGGATTAGAGAAGACACATTTTAGGGTTTTTTACAGCGTGAAGCCATTTCGATTGTCAAGAATGATATTAAGTGTTAGGGGTTAGGTAGGGATGGCCAAATGTTTTTAAATGCCAATTTTTGTACTGTCGCTGTGCGTATAGCCACAGCCATAATTAAAACACAAAGAATTATTTGACCAATATTTATTCTCCATATTGACTTAAATAGAAATCACAGTCAGACTCTCAAATCACAACTCATAATAAAATAATTTTACTTTCAACTGTACACAATATCATAGATAGACTTTCACACTGGCTTATTTCTTCTCCAAAAGTGTGAAAAAAATTTAGAAGGGGAGGGAGGGGATTACTATCTGGGCACCAAATCTTTCTGTTATAATCAAACAAAGATATTGATGCACATCTAGATATGGGTATATTATCGAACATAAATAAGAGCAGTCTGTCTTGAATTGAGGTTCTGAAAGTAGCGCTAACTAGACATTGCTACTTTAAAAAACCTAAAAATAATATAGACTGCTCGTGTTTATGTTTTGAATTAGACCAAGAAGTGCATAAATACCTTCGACTGTAATTTGATTCATGCTAACTTTTGTTAACTGAATCCATATTGTAAACTTAAGTAATTTTTGTGACAAATGTGGATGAAAAGGATGAATTGCTTAACAAGAAAAGAAATAAGCCAGTAGAAAGTCTTTAACACCATAAAAATACAATGCTGCCCATTTAGAAACAATTTAAGCTAAATATCTAGAAATACTCTACTTCTATTCTACATGCAAAATACACATTTCTTCAAGTCATAATGCCTTACATATTACATCTTAAAAGCCAACTTATAACAGCTGGTTATTATAAAGATCTGATTATTCTGTGGGTGATTCCACTTGCTATCTATGATCTGACAATATTATCATGATTACATGCTCTGTGTCTTAAGTATACAAAAAATTAAATGCTCTGTTAAAAAAAGATGAAATATGTGAAGAAATAGAACAGTATTTTTGATTGATAATATTAAGACAACTGGGGTAAAAATTTCACAGAAGAATGTCAGAAGATCTTGAACAGTAAATAGCCTGCAGAAAAAAAAATACCATCCAGATCTGCGAACATCTCAAAGACTACATCCTGAGAAGTCTATTTCGACCTTAGAAATTTTCAAATTTAAATTTATGAAATTGTCTGTTACAAAAGAAGCAAGAGATTGTAAACATTTTTCTGCAAGACTAAAATAATGAAATTTATTATTCTAGAATCCTGTTCTACTTTATTTTCTTATGCCTCTTATTCTCTTTAATATATTTAACAAAGAAAAAATAAACAAAAATAAAAAATCTAGCACTAATTTCTTACTTAAAATCTGAAAAATTATCACCACACAAACATTTTATCAAGCTTAATAATATTTCTTCGTTGTGATAAAGTAAAGCTATAACAGCAAGTTTAATGGTGAGTTAATATATCTATTTAGTTCATTTGGTTTACAGCAAATTAAGAAATGCAACACAAGCTGCTACTCTCTACTCTTTGATTTCTTTTAGAAACGTGAATAGGTCCCATTGTTAGAAATATCACCTACAATCACCTAATTTCTAATACTGGAAAGTTAACCCTATCCCAAAGCTAGCTGTGAATGTGTATCTGAAACACATGTTATCAGCAAGAGTTGAGCTCTAGTCGATTCAAGACAGAATTATTAGTAGTAAGAGATATGTACCACAATAACCAAACAATCAAATTCAAGTTAGTTACCCTCCATTTTGATATCCTGATGAGGATGGTTTATCCAAAACATGTTTTAAAACAATCAGATAAGCAAAATTATAAAGAACAATAATATATTAACTCTCTGACAACAGGCTCTCGGGGTAAAAATTTATATTATTCACTATTATAGCAGAATAGTTTGACTTCTTAACGAACACATATACATAAAAAATATATTTATATAAACTATCTTATTTACAAATTTACAATAATATAATAATCATATTGCACATTTCTTGCACAAATGGCACCAATTATATCATTCTCTTCTTCAATTTTCAATTCATTTTTAAAAAAACTTCAAAGTTATGTTTTAGATCTCACTATGGAGTTAGAAATATAAGTAATACATGTAGTTGGAACATCATATTACTTCTGCTTTGCGAGGAATTCAAACCCAAGGTGCATCTGTACGACAGATATGTTATTGAAACAAGCCAGCCTACACAAAATCGTCAAAACGACTTGTAACAAATATTGATTTGGCCAGTTTCAGACCATTTCTGGACCATTTTCCACATTTTCTGAAAATCTCATTCCAATTTTAAGATTTGAAGAAAAGAATGATAAAATAAATAAAACATTCAGTCCATTTTGACACAAATTTCATCAACATTTCACTAACAAGTATACACTAACAAATAACAAAAAAATATATTCCATAAAAATCAGTGATTTCAACTTCAAGGACACAGAATATGTAATATTTAAGATTGTACAGCATTTTGTCCCAGATTATTTATAGAATGATATCAAAACAGTGATATAAAATATAATCAAATATTCTAGGACTTATTGTTAGAAGGATCATGAATGATAAATTCTGAAATTGTAATAACTCATGAGTTGAAACCTCACAAATTTGGCAAATTTCACAATTTGTTACTCTGGCTTAAAACCAATCTCAGTCTTTAGAAAATTTCAAGTATGTTTATCTAACTTTCTTATACCTTGACTGTAGACAGAGAAAACAGTGTCAATGTCAGATTTGACGATTACAATACATAAAACACTTTATGTGTTGATTGATTGATAGCAATAGAGGTATTCTATGTTCCGGGATTGCTTCATCAGAAATAGTAAATATCAGCAATATCATTTTTAATTAAATGCCAAGTGAAAAGGATGAAATAACAAACACAACGACCCCTCCTCAAAATCAGTATCATTTTTAATGTTAAATAAAAAAGTTAACACCATTGTGCTATTAAATAGTTTGATTTTGAAAGTTCAGGCATTATTAAATAAGATATTTTCAAAATTCTCAACATTATTGACATTTAAATCCAAATCAAATGCCATTCTGTTGATAGATATTTTGATTGTTAATGATTAAAGTACTTAAGAATAAATCATGAATCATTCATTGAATGGGGTAATTTGTTTCACATAAGCAACATTTTGGTGTTGAGATCACATTAAATAACGAAACACAATTTTGTGGTAAAAAGTCCTTAGTTTTGTGTACAATAAAATTCAGGAGTAGCATACCATTATATTGTGTTCCTTTATTAATACTTTATCTATGGTTCTAGATCGAATTTTCTATGTATGAAAACACAAGGCACTTCGTCTAATACCAATTTAGCTTTTGGTAACAAGTTCCTCACTGGCTTACATCATTAAAATCTGAACTAATAGAAGATATATAGTATGTGAAAAATAACCATGCACATAACATTCCAAACCACTCACAATGAACAGCCTCTTATTTTACAAGGTAGAACAAGTAGAAAGTTCAAATGCACGACAGACCCCTATAATAGGGGCCCTATTTGTACTTACCATTTATTCTACCTGTACTATATTGAATTTTCATGTCATATGTGTAAAAACACAGCAATAAACAGTTGACTGATATTTTCCCAGTATGGTTGTCTAATACTAAATATACATATACCTTATAATTATTGAGCATGTTGAGATCTACGAGATGTTTATATTGGAAGATCATTTTATAAGGCATTGTATTCAGAAACTTCTTAATATCTTTGGTGTTAAATAAACATAACTTAACTTAACAATGATTTCTAGTACATTAAGAACCATTTATAAAGACTGCAGCAAGGTAATGTAAGCTATTCATTTGTTAATGAAAATATGGCCTTTCTCTTTAAATTCTAAAACATTTGTACATTTTATCTATAGTAAAATCACATTTTATGTTGACTTTCACAAGCAGAAACCATCATTTCACAGCCTCACTAATATTCAAGATGTAGATTTAAAAACACAAACCAAAATGACTCATCCATGTCAAATAGCAATAACCACTGGTTAAAAATCCAACATTTTAGTCATGTCTTGTCGAAGTTTATCTCCACGTAGATTATCTTGACTAGCTTGTAGACGACGGAATAATATAGGACAATCTAGAGAGATACACGGTTGTTTATTGTCTTGACATCCCATACACGTATAACAAACCTACAATATAAGAACAAACCTACAATATATGAACAAACCTACAATATAAGAACAAACCTAAAATATATGAACAAACCTACAATATAAGAACAAACCTACAATATATGAACAAACCTACAATATAAGAACAAACCTACAATATATGAACAAACCTACAATATAAGAACAAACCTAAAATATATGAACAAACCTACAATATAAGAACAAACCTACAATATATGAACAAACCTACAATATAAGAACAAACCTACAATATATGAATAAACCTACAATATAAGAACAAACCTACAATATAAGAACAAACCTACAATATATGAACAAACCTACAATATAAGAACAAACCTAAAATATATGAACAAACCTACAATATAAGAACAAACCTACAATATAAGAACAAACCTAAAATATATGAACAAACCTACAATATAAGAACAAACCTACAATATAAGAACAAACCTACAATATATGAACAAACCTACAATATAAGAACAAACCTAAAATATATGAACAAACCTACAATATATGAAGATAAGGTTTTTCTCTACAATATCATAAATATAAAGTTCACTCTGATTAGCACAAATTATGCAACTTGATTGAAAGGAAATTTCTAAGGTTTTTTATGCTAACATATGACGAAACTTATTCTGAATTAACTGTAGCTCTTTTCGAAACGAGGATCCTGCATCAGGTTGCAATTAACATTACCTTTTGAAGGTCAAAAAAAGACATGACTAAGATTATCATACACACAATGCTGGTTTTTCGCTTGCGTGCTTGTAGTGATAATATTGATCTCAAATGTCTGATGAGAAATTGAAATGGCACAAATAAAAGTTGTTACAAATACAAAGGCTGGAAAGTTCCAGCTGAAGATTATATATTAACATCACCTACCTGAGTTAGTTTAGAGTAGATCTGTTCCCAGTGTTGTATTCTAGATGATAATACTACTGTAGTTGTTTGAGGGTCGTTCATACATTTCTTACAGATAGCTTGTTTAGTTTGTTCATCACAGACAGGACAGTTAGAAGTAGCAAAATATTGAGATATTGTACCCTGAAATAAATGATATACTCAAAGTGATTAAGATTCTAATTACTATAAAATGTTAATATCACCAGCCTCTCTTAAAAGTTTTCAATGTTCAGTAAAGTGATGACACTTACAACCCTAATTTGATTGACACAAAGGAGCACCCATTGCTTGATTAATATTTTGGTTTTCTCTAAACAGATAAATTTGTGAATCCATCTCATCTTATAAAATAAAAAAATTAAAGACAATAGGCACATACTAAACAATTCAAAGCATGCAGTCAGCCGTACACAGAAATAAATCACGCATCACTCACCTTTTTAGACTCCGCTCCAGTAACAGATTGTGGCACTATTCTGATTACCTTGGGCATTTCATTATACCTGTATTATAAAACATATACATTAAATAGTTTAAATTTGCTTTACCAGCTGATAGAGCTCTTTTCAGCTATCCATAAAAATTCAAAATTCAAATTCAAAATTGGACATCTGCTTCAATTGCAATTAATATACTAACAGTAGCTTAAATTGGGCATTTCATAATACCTATATCATATAATATTATAATATAATATATATGAATATTACCAGTTCAAGTGTAAAGTTGTTCAATTTTTTCTTTACCAGCTGATACTATATCACATTTGTCAGCAATCCACAGCACTTATCAAATTCAATATCAGACATCTGTTTCTTCACATCATTAAAATACTTGAAGGGCAATATCGAGTCATTATGTCAAACAATATTATCTATAAGTCAAATGTCAACATAAAAATGTGGCAACAAAATAATAAAGAAGAAATAAAAATGCTCACCACATGAAGACATCAACTCCCAGTAAAGAGAAGAGTCTATTCAAGGGAGGTAATATTTGTTTGGTGATGTAGTAAGTACCATTGAGTCGCAATGTAGGGTCTTTTATCATATCTCGTGGCTCTCGAACTAGCTGTATCAACGGTAATCCTGGAGTACCGTAAACTATAATATATGGTACTCTTTCTCCTGTTCTAGGTTCAGATCTTGGGTCAAATTTCAATCTTTTTCTGAAAAAGTTTTTAAATGTATAAATTGTCAAACACTTTTCCAATACTTTATCTTACATTTTTAATGTGAATTGCATGAATACTATCAAAAGCAGAAAATTAAATCCATGATAATCCATAAGTTGAAAGCAGTAAACTATGCATATTCCTCTAGGATTTAAATTTCAGATGAGTGATCATTAACCCACCTCGTATCAATCATAATTGATGCATTATTGTATATATGACAGATAGATGAATCAGAATAGGAACTCAACCTATGCTGTGATTGAACCCTGGACCTTCAGATTAGTGTTGAACTCACTGAGCCACTACGGCTACAAACTCGATCAAAGTTCTTACCTAGCTATTTGTAAAGCAGGAACACAGGCACCAGGTTTATAGCCTGCCATTCCACGATATTCTTTAGCAAATACACAATCCTGTAGACTAACTTTACCCTCTAATAATTTCTGACATTGTCTTATAACAAACTGTTTAACTTGAGATATATCTTTACTAGTAAATAATATCTTAATACATCTCTCTAGAATCTACAAATAGAATAAATCAATAACATGGCAGATTATAGAATATAAACCTGAGCTAAGTTATAAGTTAAGAAACCTTTGAAGACAAATTATGACAATATCAAAATTCCATTTCAAAATCAATCTTGGAATCAAAAGGTGGTCAAAATTGTCTTTATCTCCTTCACAAGCAAATATATCATAGCACTCGATTGGTGAGTTCTGAACAGGGTCCGTTATTTTTAATTTAGTCCGCATCTATTATTTCTTTTACAGCATATGTGGAATGTGTTTTGAACTATGTTCCAACTAGTTTTATTGAACAACCAGTTGATTCCATACATTTTAAAATTATCACCATTGTGTTATTATGTTATCACAAAATCAAGGGCAATAATCCAGTGATCTTCAAAGATAATCAAACCTTACCTTAGATACTGCCCCACAGTTATCTCTTCTGACAGTTTCTATACCTTTAGCATCAAACACTGGTTCTTTCTGATCTCTGGTCTCATACATAAACCCTACATAACGTTTCTTAGTTTGTAAAACACATGGTAGGTATACCTGGAAGTGGATAGATGATATGATATACCCAAATAGATTCCCATTTTCTGTTGTAACTTTTTAACATATTTTTCGGTCTGAGTCATTAAACATTAAGGCTTTCAGTGAATCTTACAAATGAAAGATCTAGAGTTTTGCTTTCAGTCTTGTATCTAGTTGCCCAGCATAGATACATAATATAGGATACTTTGAATCAAATCTATTGAATTTGCCAGTAAGTGGCAAACTTTATTCCTCATTCCCATAAAATATTTTTTACATCAGAACAAGTGTTGACAGCAGAGGATGAGCCAAATTTCAATGTAATGTAAAAACTACCTTTTCAAATTTTAGTTTCATTGGTTTAGGGAACATGTTAGAGATTGTATCAGCTATTTCTTGTCCAATAACAAACGCTTCATCTTTACTTTTACCCTTCATTTCTATGAATAAACTGAAAAAAAAACACAAAAAGATTGAAGACACTGGAATGCAGCACAAATTCTACCTGAGAACTTTTTTAATATGAAATATTGTATCACAGTTATCAGCATGATGAAATAAACTAGGTTTCAATATTTGTTGCTACATATTCTTTTACATTCAGACATTTTTCAATGTCAGCTATCTTAGATTGTATTACTGACCAGATATGAGCAATATGAATCAATAATTGCCAGGGATCTGTTACTATAAAGCACATTATCAATTACCTGTCAGTATCACCATAAACAACTCTAGCTCCCCATCTTGGTGTTTCTTCTACTAGCTTAATAGATCTTTCTAATGATTCTCTTGCTTTACGTACTATACTGTCTCCTACCTGTATACAATAAACAATTGCTTTTCTAATATACATGGCACTTTCCAACAGAAATTATGATTTTCAGCAGTATATCACTTTTACATACTTTCAAAAATGTATAATCAATAGAGGAATCTAGTTGCAATACGATTTTCTACCTTTACAACAATTACTGCTTTTAAAAACTGGCCCACCCCTGGCCACTATTTCAGATTATATAACTGAACCCTTTATAATTTTGATAAGTCTTTTAAATCAAAAGTATAATAATATACTCATATTGAAAACATTGACAACTTTCCCAAATTATTGATATGATATTTAATTAAAACTTAATTAACTCACCTCAATACAAGGCATTCTACCGGAGAAATTGGCTCCAGTATAACCATAGGTAACATTAGCTATCAACTTTAAACCAAGTTGTCTGGCATTTAACATTCTATACAGGGCCTGAAAATTAAATATCAATTCTGTCGAATCATTTTTTTCTCGGATAGCATATTTTATAACTTTTTTAATATTTTAAGAATGTAAGAATCATTATATGTACATATATTTTCATATTTTGTAGAGATGTGAACAATGTATAATTTTTTTCTTGTATAAATGGATTCAAAGTAATGTTCAAAATTTTTAAATCATAATTCTTCATACTTTGAAGTTCTTGTATAGATTTTACAAACAGTGTTCAATACCTTATCATCTTTATAACTTTTCATTGCTTTCTTCACCATAATTCTTGTATTTAATATCTCCTCTACCATTCTGTAAATAGATTAAACAAATTATGATAAAAATCTTTAGAAAAAATAAAAACACTGACAAGAGGGTTTACTCTCTCTACGAACACATAGCTGTGCATTCAATAACATGGTCCATTATGGCACCATTTGATGTCCAATATTATCTGATCACTCACAATTTTATCATAGGCATCACAGATACTATCAGCTTTCCTAAAGTCTGCACTAGACTGAAGACTGTTAAAGCAATACATTTAATAAGGTAATTTCACATACTTGGATATTATTCCCTTTCTAACATCTTGATTTACAAAACAACAACCATTAGGTGATATAGTTATATCATCTTCTAGTTTCTGTAATCAAATATATAACTTGTTACAAGAGTGATGCATATTCATACTATGCCAAAATGTAGAGCTTAGAAAATTTATTCCATACAAATTTGCCCTTTTATATAGAGTCAAAAGAAGGCCTCAGCACACAGAGATGGCTTTTAAGATTTAACTATTGGTCAAGAATCATATTAAGATTATATAAAATACATTGATCTTTTTGGTAAATAAATAAAAATTTTAATTTGATTTTATTGATCAAGCAATCAGACGATCAGAATATTCAAATCATATATTACTTAATTTTTTGTAAAATTGGCCCCAGAGAAAGATACTACTCACCCTAATAACTGAGGGAGACTGTCGTAATGAGGTACAACCAAATTCATATTGTCCTTCACTGAAATAGTCAATGTATAAGTTTTAGTTACTAATTACATCTACTACTGTATATTGGTATTATAATTGATCCTTACAGTGTCAAGCTATCACGAACTCTGTCTAATACCTGGATGTCATTGAGCACTTTTCATGTAACATAGAAGTTTTTAAATTTTAATCCCCATTTTAAAATCAGCACATTTGATGGTAGAATTAATTACTAAATACAGGTTCCTAAATAAAAATATCTGAAGCAAAAACTCAGAACTGAAAAGACATTGCCTTCTTGTTAACTTAAGAAATTGAATTGTCTACTTACTGTGCTTTGGCTAGTAAATCAAGTCTACCCATACAAGTAGAGAAACAGTAGTTGTATGCTATCATTATAGAGGGATATAAAGACTGGAAGTCTAAGACTACTACAGGATTGGTGTAGAATTTCGAGTCAGGTTCTAGAGTTAATTGGATACATTCTGGTGCCCTCATTCTGGCTCGTTGATGAACACTGGGGGATACTGGGATATAGTTCATGGGTTTTGCCAGACGTAACATCATAGATTCCACTCGATACTAAAATTATAAGAGAATAAAGAATAAATTTCAATTGGTTGTTTTTTAATTATTAGACAACAGTAAGTAACAAATACAGCAAACAAACTTAATGAGATGTACAAGCTGGTTATCTGACAGTTTGAAATTATGTTCCAACCAAATAAATCACAAGAAACCAAAGAAGTTCTTTTATTAAGAACACAAGTTATATGGATATACTACTTCTAGTTTTATTACATACTACGTTTCAAAACACATACAGGTAACATTATCAAGTAATCACGCGTAACATTTTTTTATGTTAAAATCTTAAGTTCTTAATGAATTTTCAATTGAAATGCACAATTTGGTGTCTACACCCCTATTCCTTGGTTGCGACTCCTTACAAAGTATCAAAAAATGTGACCAAACATAAAACATCCCTCTTGACATAGATGCATCTGTCTTGTATGGTTTTAATTACTATTCATTCCAGCTAAAAGTGAACTTCTCCCTTGAATATTTTCCCCAAAGTGCAAGCAAATATTTTACCTCCACAATCTTAAAAGTTGTTAGACTTACCTGAGAGCCTCGTGATAAAACATCGTAGAATTCAATACCAAATACTCTAGCAAACTCACTAGTTTTACCAATAATATCCAGCTGATCTATAATCTGTAGTAAACCTTTAACACGTGTTATATAGTGGTCTATTACACGCCATCTACAAATATCAAAATTTTATGTTAGATAATCAACAGGCTTGAATTAACACATACCTCCACTTGACAATAATAACATCTAAGTTGACAATATACAAAGAATCATGAACATGCCATATATATATTATATATTTACGTCACTGAGGTACTGAGTTGAGTTGACTGGAATAGTGAGAATTTTTTTTTAATATTCCAAGCTCAAGTTATTAGCCCCACATTCAGTTACAATAAAACCGTTTTCACAATACATTTTGGCTTCAATCCAGTTATCTATTGAAACGAAGGCAGACAGGAAAATATCACTCAACGCATTGAAAATGTTCTACTGTATTGAACAAAGAGCTCGAATCCCTCAATTTTAAATATTAAAATGATAACATACCTATATAGATGAGTTCTATGATTAAACCAAGAACTCAATGATTTAAAGGAATACAGTGGAATACGTCTATGTAGTACGTGGTAGGCTACATTCTCAAAATCATAGATATTCAGAGTTATCTGAAAGGTAAACAAAGGGAAATAATTTCATTCTTAGATCAGACATTTAATCGGTCTCTTTGGATATATGGAATTGAGAATTATCTAATCAAACTGTATTGATGTTAACTTCACTTGCAAAATCACTTCGCCCTAATAAATTTACCTGTCTAGTAACAATCTAACTAGGAATTTTGGGTTGTAAAATTGCAGTTAAGTATTGTTACGAAAGCACAGGCGCAGGAATGCAGGCATAACCTCTAGTGACAGAGTATTGTTTGTGCAGTTAGTTTTGAATAATATATTATAATTTGAATAAGTTTCTTTTTTTTTTCTGATATTTGATGTTTACAATGAAACCTATCAAGAATTCTACTCCAGTCCCAATCTAACGGCAATATTCTTAACCAGTAAAGGATGTTTTGTAGCAACATTTCTTAATAACAAGGATTAATTAGCTATAGCTTAGCTATCCCACAATTCATCCTTGTTTTAAAGAAACAGGTCCTACAAAACAAGTTTTGATTGGATAAGTATAATGTCATTAGGATGGGACTTGGGTAGAAATCTAGTTATATTACTACAGAAATGAAAAGTATCAGAAAATAAGAAGCGAAATAGTAATCCAATTTTAATTGTCATGAAATGGCAAAATATTCCTTATTAAAGCGAAAATAAACTCTACCTCATGTTTAAGAACTCTCCATAGATTAAGAACTATTCTACCAGCTATATGTATCTCTGTATTATAATCTGCTCCCCATGGATCTTTCTCAGCACTAAATCTATTACCATCCTTTGTGCCTGAAGTATACAGTTTAACATTTTGTTTTTCGTGAAAACATGAACAAAACTTATTAAATCATTTTATTTTATAATGAAATGTACTCAAGAATAGTTATTTCATAAACAGCAAATTGATTTTTCTGACTATTTCCTCAATTATGGATAAAGAATGTCCTCAAAAAATCACAAGAGAATAACAATTGTGACTTGAAACAGGTTTCAATACACATAAAACTAGCACAAGGAATAGGTACAAATCCTGATAACGTTTTTTACTTTTTTTTTTAAAAAGGTTGCCTTGAATCTTGAATTGTCACAACCTAAAACATAATATCTTGGAAAAAATAAAAAAAGAATGTGAATATTACCAGGTAATCTAGAGAGACTAGGACAGATATTTAAACTGAGATGAGCAGCTCGTTGTAAAATATATCCCAATGATAACATCTGTATCTCAAATCCTACCATTACATCTGGATCCCATCTGAAAGTTAATTGCAACAATAATTAAAATATAGACAACAATCTGTTATTTAGAGTGAAAAGTATTTGGTAAGATATTTGACAAGGCCAAATCAACAAAAATCATTAAATTGAAGGTCTACTTAACATTTTTCTAATAAAGAAGGTTGAGTCATTTTAATTCTTAAAACCAAAAGAAGAAGGTATACATTGTGAGATTCAATTGAAGACATATTCTGAATCTAATGAGACATTTTTCCAAATCAAAAAATGATCTAATACTATTGATCAGCAAAATGAAAATGATAAATTTAAAAGAGGTATGAAGCTGGGTATTGAAATTTTGGGATGATTTTTGGAAAGTAACATGCCTGATATCTGATGCCTGGTAAAAATCAAATATTGATGACCAAAGGGAAGGAACATATATGTGAGAACATATCACAGCTTGTAAAATAAAATAAGAGAAAACACCAGCAGAAAATATATTTTTTTAATTAGTTATGCCACCAGATATTGGAATATTTGAATGCATTTGAATAAGGTCACATGTTTAGTATCTCTACTAAAATCAAAAGATTCTCTACTCACCTATGGACTAGTTGAATGAATTCATCTAACAATTCCTGTTCATCTGATACATAAGATATTACTAGGTTATCAATACCAGATTTCTCCAGTAGGGTTGGCTTGTGTGGAGTTATCTTCTCTTGACTAGAACCTGGAGTGGACTTTGGACTTTGTGATGAAGCTTTGGATGTGGATGCTTTTGGATTTAAAGTTTGTGATGAAGCTTTTGAAGTTGATGGTTGAGGACTAGATGCAGGTTCTGCTTTAGAGGTCGATGCTTTGGAGCTGGGTGTTACTTTTGATGTAGAGGCTTTCGAATTTCCTGGTGTCTTTGATGAGGAATCATCTTTTCGAGTCCATCGAGATCTTGGGGTAGTAATATCTTCTTTTGAGGTAGATGGCTGAGGACTAGATGGTTTGACTTTTGAAGATGAAGCTTGAGAAGTGGAAAATAGACTTTTCTTAGGAGATGTTTTCGACGTTGAAGGAGAATCTTTGTTTGGTCGAGGAGATAATGACCTTGCTCTAGGAGGAGATGACCTTGAAGTGTCTGCTTTAGATGTTGACGGTTGTGGAGACCTTGACATTGGTTTGGGTGAAACAGAACGTGACTTTCCGGACGCCTTTCTTTTACGTCCTTTTTCTGGTGTTCGTTTAGGTGTCTGTCGTTTCTTAGGGACTGATGTTTTGTCAACTATGATAGCACCAGTAGTTATTTGTGGACCTTCTGACTCAGGGACGTCATTATAAACAGAATAAAAGATGACCTGGATGGGGTCCATTTCTGGGTTGGGTGAAAGTTCACCTCTGGTTTCTGCATGGATTTCTATACTCATTACTGTTAGATACTGATGCTGAAATATAAAAAATCAGGATCAGTTTTGAATTCACAACCATGAGGTAGACACAAACATAAAAATAAAAGACAACTACAGAATCTCTATGCAAAATTTCATGCAATATATTTCTCAAATGATAAACATAATAAAGTATATCTTTATAATGTAGATGTAAACATTTGACTGGAAATTAGACAGTAGATAGTAGATACTCGGATATAAATGGATGTGTGTATTTAGTCCTCAAAGACTTCCTTACCTGATGAAGAGCTTTAGCTGTCTGTAAATTTTGTTGTGTAATTCTAAATCCAAAACTATTTTTAGGCGTTGGTCCGTCAATTTGTGAAGTTTTCTGTTTAGACATATCTGGTGTTAACAGTTGACTCTATAAGATCAAAATTTCAAAAATATGTTTTAAAGAACATAAAAAATATTTGATAAGAAGATTGTCACAAAACTTGGATCACTCACAGCTTTTCTCATTTTTTCAATCACCCTAATCTCTAACCTTAACCCTGTGCCAATGCCTTATAATGAATATATTTCAATCACCCTAATCCTTAATACCAAAGCAATTAGTTCAACCAATCAGTGTTTCCAATAATATTCGCTTCAGATTATTTTCATTTCTAATGACATTTATGACATGACCTTAGATTAAATTTTCATAAGATGCAGATACATGTACTTTTTTTTTCTATTTCTATATACATATAAAACCTCAACTCCAGTATCAGCACTGCACTGATAAGGCCCAGAAGGCAGAAACAGTCTTGTTTGCAGTTAAACATAAACTCCATATAAATTATTCAAAACAAAAACCTGTATATAGAGTGAGGACTCCGCAGTTAATACTGGACTAAATACTAAATTTTCAAACAAAACATAGTTAATTTGGTGAATGGAAGGGAAGGTACATTTACAACTGGATCATTTTAATTAACATGATGTGAAAAGAGTTTTCTAAGATGTTTATGTGTAATACAGTTAGTGAAATGTGAACCAATACCTTTTAATAGGTATATATTAGTATACAAAATGGTGGAATAAAAAACATTCAGTCACAGTGCATGCTGTTAGTAAGGGTTTTGGGTTTGGACAAAGACATTCTATGATTGCTAACGACTAACTTTCTAGGTTGAGTTATTGTTAGATAAGACTAGATTAGGTTAGGTTAGTACATGCATTGTTAGTTCTTGCTGAGATAGGTTATTTTAGGCAATGAATTGTTAGAACAAGGGTATATTAGAGTAAGATATGCACTGTTAGTAATAGCTAGGTTAGGTTAGAGTGGAGCATATACAGTTAGTACATTCCTAAGCTAGGTTAGCTTAGGTTAGAACATGCACAGTTAGTACTAGCTTAGCTAGGGTTGGGTAAGCTTATAGCATGCACTATTAGTACAAGCTTAGATAGGGTTGGGTAAGCTTATAGCATGCACTGTTAGTAATAGGCTAGATTAGAGTAAGATATGCAGTGTTCGTTCTATCTAGGCTAGGTTAGAGTGGAGCATATACTGTTAGTACATCCTAAGCTAGGTTAGGTTAGGCTAGAACATACACTGTCAGTACTAGCTTAGCTTGGTAGGGTAAATCATGCACTGTTAGTACCAGCTAGGCTAGGCTAGGTTAGGGGAAGGCATGCACTGTTAGATAGTATTTACTCGCTAGGCTAGGTTAGTCTAGAAAAGCACTGTTAGTACATGCTGATATAAATAGGTTACCTTCATCTGAGACGTAAGGATTGATCTTCGTAAGGTATTTTCTGTATTTGTTGATTGACGTCGAGGGGGAGCGGGTCTTTTTGGGGTAACAAACATGCCTGGTATATTCCCATCACCTGTGATCTGTTTATCCCTATTAATACTGATTGGAGTACAAGATGGCTCGAATAAATCTTTGCCGTCTGCTCTACGAGAGACTGGTGTACTATGAAGATAAGAATCAGACTCACCAAAATCCAGTTTGTTTGATTTGGACGGAGATATTTCTTCTTGGTCCCAACGAGAACAGTGTTTTTTGGCTGGATTTGGTGGACTTAAAATTTCAAGTTCTTCTCGTGAAGTGTCAAGAATTTCACCATCTGATAAAGTTCGCTTCAATCGAGTCACTTTAATAATTTTAGAAGGTTCAGAATCTACATTTGGAGAATTTGATTTTTTTTGGTTTTCTTGTGATAAAATTTCAACCTGGACACAATCCAAACTAGTGTCAACTTCAACGCTACTTTCATTTTTACTTATTTCCACTACTGTACTGTACTCATACACTGATTCACATTTGGAGTTATCCACTCCTGAATTATCAGACTCTACAGAGTTATCTTTCCTTTCATTAGAATCCACACAGTTATCATTTTTATCACAAACACACAATATAATGTCTTTCTTTTCATTAACACTCACAGACTTATTCTCTCCTTCATCAAGACACAATGAGTTATCTTTCCCTTGATCAAGGCACTTCGGTTCACTGGTAGAAACCTCCACACAATTGTCAAAAGGGGTAAAAATAATCTCACTTTTTGTGTTCGAATCTTCCTCAATACTGTTACTCCTATCAACAATCCCAATTTTCTCTTTTCTCGGTTCTACTTCATCAATATCAGGAATTTTAGTCACTATTTTATTATTGTCTAGAACTTTTCCAAGTTTATTTTTCAACCATTTTTTCACGTTTGATTTTGAAGGAGGCATATGACATGGCGCTATAATCTGTTTTTTGTCCTCCGTTAAAATAAATCGAAATTGTGGATCTTTTTCCAGTTTATCCCACAAACTTTCCCGTTCTTGAGAAGAAAATAACTTTTCGCTAGAATTCGCTGTGAAGATTGTTCGCCAAGTTTTCAAAGATTCAAATGTGGTTTGAAATTCTGGCATGTCTTGAACCTGCAAAATAAAGGCATGATTCAATCAACTCATTAAAAGATCTTTCAGTTAGAATTAAGATAAGATTATAAATCTTTTTAAATCTGAACTTGTCATCAGTTTACTCAAAACTATTGAATATTTTTCTTAAAAACAAATCAATGAAATTATTCTCAATCTGTTAGCATAAATAACCAATGAAAACCGAATACATGTATAATAAAAAAGAAGCACACACGAAAAAGTGAAATATGCACCAAAAATAAAAATGCAATCAAATAAAATCAATCATGCATTTGAAATGTGAAAGGCCACAAAAAAATGAATAAATAAAATAAATGAATAAATAAAATAAATGAATAAATAGGTGATTTGAACACACAAAAACCATTTTAACAACATCCATGTCCATCAGATTTTACTTTTGATTCATAAACTAATTTTCAAAAAAAAAGCTGTTAACCATTACCCTGCAAACTTTCACCTTGCAAATCATTTATAAAGAAAGAAAAAATCAGGATGATCTAAACTAACAGCGTAAAACCAAAATGGTACATGGGTTTGAAGCCTCTCCTACCCCATTCACCATGTTATAAGAAAAGCGTACAATTAGAAAAATTTGAATCATCCATTCTAATCCCAATGGTTATAAAATGTGTAAAATCAAAATGGTACTTGGTTGTGATGCCATTCATATCACCATGTTTTTACAAAGTGAAAACCATCCATTTTGATGAAAATGGTACAATTAAAACAGTACAATGCTTATAACTTATTTTTATCCCCAGCCAGTAAGAGCACACACAATGAAGTGAAGGTAAAATATGAGAATAAATAAGTAAAAGGCCAAATAAGTGAAGAAATCTCACCGAATTGGAATCAACCTTTAACACTTGTCCTCCTACCTCCCTGCAACATATTTCAAGTAAATATGTTACTTATACCAACTTTTAGATTCTTTAGAAAGGGGTGGACATTTGCTTTAAATAAGCTAAACAAGTATTAGTATATACTGTAATATGGCTAGAAGTCAAGTATCTTCAAGTCTAAGCTTTACAAGAAAGCATTGGTGAAGCATTTAAGTGATCATAAGAATATTTTGAGAAAATATTACAAGACCCACTGATCATTGTGAGCAACAGCGTGCAAAGTACAAAAGAGGACAGAAAACGGTGACCAAAGCAGAACCTAGGCATAATTATCTATACTGTTCATGATTGCAAAAGAAAACTGGGAAAAAATTGGTAAAACAATCCAAACTAACGATTGGCAGCAGTTCTGTCTAATTGTGTTTTATCTTGATAACATTGCCATGGACACTATAAATTGTCCATGCAATTTGGTCATGCATATTAACTAAAATTCGACACAAACTGGCAACTTAAAATTCTACTTTTGGAATGGAAGTCTGTCCAAAAAATAATTTCATGCGGGATGAAAATCATATTAAAAACATTGATCTCAAATTTCATGCTTGCACAATTATATTGGAGAAGTAATTTTAATTTTTTTGGGAAAATACTTTAAAATAAAAAATTTACTGACCTTGACCTCTCTGGTATATCGTCAGGGTTACTGAAGAATGCTTCCTGATGATTGGTTAAAGTTAGACCATGTGACTGAGCTGATTCAATGATGTTTGAGCGTAATGGAGCTAGATTCGTAGGTTTGATAACAATAGAATTCAGAGTTACTGTAGAGGCGTTATCCATCTCTGGTGGAGGGCTGTTTTTGTCTGCGTTCGAATCTTTTTTCAATTCTTGGGGAATGTTGTTACTTGAATTCTCAGAGTGGTTTAGACTACTGTTATACATTTCATGTTTTTTCTTATATTTTTGAGGTTTAGTGTCACCAACGTCATCAATACTAGCACAGGTAATATCAGTCCATAAATTACGTGAAGTCACTGGAGGTTTCTCTGAGTTTGTATTCGAAGCCACAAATTTTGAAGGAGCACTTAAATAAGAAGTCACTTTGGCAGTATCAAGTACAGTTTTAGTGTTTTCAGAATTAGGTAAGTCCACATCCTTTACACTATCCTCATCAGCATTGTCTTCACATTCCATCTCCAAAGGGAGGTCTGAAATTTCTGAGGATTTTTCATCCTGAATGGCATTTTCAATTACAATTTCTGGCAATTTTGATGCTGAAGCATTTTGATTGGAGTCACCTTCATCTTTAGAACTAGGGCTGGAATTTTGAGCACTAGGAGACGTTGAGCTTGCACTATATGAATTAGGAGACCGTTTAGTTAACTTAGACTTTGGTCTGTAAGCCATTAGTTTCAGCACTTCTATTTCATTTGTTTTACCTTCCTTAGAATCTGTATCACATGTTCTAGGAGATCTATTAGGTGTTAAATTTGGTGGAGGTGGTGATTTTTCATTAGAGATTGACAAGACACCAGAGAAATTAGGAATATTTGGAGGTCCAAGGTCTGGGGGCGAAGAAGTATTTCGAACAACAGCACTAGAAATGTCTGAAAATAATAATGGTGC